GAGGAGGGGGCTGAATTGGGGAAGAATTTTATAAAGAAAGAAATTGTGATTTACCTCTATTTTTGGAAGTTTTTTTTTGCAACAAGAATATATGCAATATATGTCATATATAATAATGCAATATATAGTAATCTCTATATTATAAAATATTTATATAAACCTAGCAATAGAAAAGTAGCTGTGTCAGTGTAAGCAATAGCTGATGCAACAGAAAAACCATGACATTTGAAAGGTTAACACAAGAAAAGTGTCTTATTTGTGCACATAAATTCTGATGCAGTTAGCCAGAGGCCCTCTGCTCTAGGCGACCCAGAGATGCAGGCTGCTTCCATCTTGTGGTTCCACCATCAAACACGGGGTTACCACGTTTGCTGGTGAATCGTGGGAGAGAGCATGGAACTGGCATACAGGCTCTCAAATGCCTGGATGTGACACACAATGCTCCTGCTCAGGTCTCTATGGCAAAGGCTTGTCACATGTCCCTTCATAACTACAAGTGGCCTGGCAATGTAGTGTCTCCTGTGTCCAGGAATAACAGCTGGACGAGATATGGATGAGCACTGAAGTCTCTCCCATGCCCCGTTACATAGTAGGTGCCCAACACAAAGCAACAATTATAACTTGTTATGACAACATCCGTGTTCATTGTGTGGGTGAGTTTCTGAGGTCAGGTTTGCCTTGAAATTCTCTGAAGTGTTAAGTGCCTACTATGCAACAGATGCTCTCAAATACAGAACCACATCTCATTTTAAGAGGATCCTGTCAATCTCAGCAGGTAGGGTTGCCTTCTTCGCTCTATGGCACTTTTCTGCACTCCCTTTGCAATACCGCCTATAATCTCAGTAGGCTTCCTTCTGATGCAGGGGTGAAATCTTAGCCTGTGGGTCTCAGCTACCCTCCACAAGGAAGTGACTGAACTTCCTTGAACAGCGGCACAGGTGCCCCCAGGCTCACTGAAAGACAGGACTTTCCTGGGGGGGGGGGGGGGCAGGTACCAGACCAAGAACAGTGGGAGAATGGTGGTTTTTTCTTTGTGA